GCTTTCCACCCATGCAGTATGTGATTGAGGCACACAGCAGATCTTTGTGGAACCTAAGGAAGAAGCAAGGAGCCTCTGTATGACAGCACTTTAGTAATCACCTCCAAAGATCTCACTGATAACAGCAACAGTCAAGCAACGCTGTACAGGTACTGGTTCGGTTCAAAAGAGGAGAGGTCCCTTTGCTGATTTTTATGATAGATACCAGGCATGAAACCATAGTTTTTTCCCTTCTATTACATCAAAAACCATGACTAGAGTGGACACCACCTTGGTGTGGGGACCCAGAGACCCAGCTACAATCAGATACAAGGCTGAAGTTTCCAAACCACCTGTGCTGGGAAGATCACCCCAAAAATATCTGGCAAAGTGCAGCTTGTCTGTGTGCCAGAGAACTGGGCCCACCTGTTAGGGAGCCCACCTTCAAAAGAACATAGAGTCTTGTTCTTGGGAAAAGTGGGTAGGCAAACAGAGGAAAGGACACATTACCTATAACTAGAAGAGTATGTGGGCCTCAGGGATTAGTTGAAGCAGGTGGAGCTAGTGTGGAGACAGCAGATGGGTTAGTGAGCAGTACCTAGGAGGTAGACAGAAGAGAGGGTGAGGGACCACAGAGGATGGGAGTTTGTACTTACATCACTGTTAAGTCCTCCGTTAAACCTCAGGATTTCTAGTGCTGATAACCAGAATGTTCCTCAATACTGTTAATTCAATTTCTTGTAGGATATCTGTGAGTTTTTGTAACTAGCTGGTTGGCAACAATGGAATATGCAAGTAATTTAATATTAAATGACCGTGCATACCTTGATTGAGTACCAAAAAGAGACAGACTTCTGTGCTCAATTTTTTGGGAGGCCTTCACAGAAAAGATGGAGTCTAAAGTGGAACTTGAAAGATGGGAAAAGTTAGGTAATTTGGAAAGGAAGTTAGGAAAGGGTGATTGGAGTTAAACCCAGAAGTGTAGCTGCTTAAGATTCTTTCTGTGTCATGGACTCTGAAAAGATCTATCCAGCCAAAATAAAGGAAGATGGTTTATTTGAAAAGAGGTAGAAAAAGAGAAGATAGCTACTCTGGAAGAGGAGGGGCCATCAGAAAGCGAATACCCCGACCTCTTGTCCCTGGCTCTTTTTATTTAGGGCTAATTTTTTTTTTCATCCTCCACATGGGCACCTGGAAGTTGTCACCATCTGATTGGCTTTCTGACTTTCTCTGATCCTGTCTTGTACTCCACTGTCCATGTATTTTTGGTTTGAGATCGATCGCTTTGTGATGGGTAAGTGGAGGGGAGTAGCTTTACAGAAAGGTAACTTAAAGGACTGGGGATGGAGCTCAGTGACATCGCGCCTTCCTGGCAAGTGCAAGGTCCTGAGTTCCATCCCCAGTACCAAAAAAGAAAAAGTAGCGTAAGAGTTACTAATTAAAGGAGACATGTGGTCTCGCAGCTCTGGCTGCTTGGTGAGGCTGGTAAAATCCAAGGTGACCCCAAGAGAACGGCCCCTCCCCAGAAGGAGGCAGAAGGAGATGGTGATGAGGAGGAAACGTCAGACGGGGAGGAAGATGGGAGCAGGGGAGAGGAGGTTGTCATCCCTCAGAAGGAAAGCAAGAAGGCTGCCGCGGCTCCAGCAAAGAAAGCAGTGATGTCCCCAACCAAGAAGGCTGTGATTGCCGCACCTGCCAAGAAAGCAGCTGTCACCCCGGGCGAAAAGGGGCAGTAGCCAGCCAGCCAAGAGGACAGCGAGGCCCGCGAAGGCAGGCGCAGCACCTGGCAGGAAGGGAGCTGCACTGGGCAAAGCTATGGTGGCAGCCCCAGGTAAGAAGGGCGCTGCTGCCCAAGCCAAGGGGCAAAGAATGGCAGAAATGCCACGAAGGAAGACATGAGGAAGAGGATGATGACAGCGAGGAGGAAGACAAGACGAGGAATGTGAGCCAGAAGTGATGAAAGCAGTAGCTGCTGCCCCTGCCTCAGAGGATGAGGACGATGACGCGGAGGAGGAAGATGAGGAAGAGGAGGAAGACAGCTGTGAAGAAGCAGCAATGGAAACCACACCAGCCAAAGGAAGAAAAGCTCCTGCAAAAGCTGCTCCTGTAAAAGCCAAGAACGTGGCTGAGGAGGAAGAGGAGGAGGAGGAGGAGGAGGACGAGGAGGACGAGCCTGTCAAAGAAGCACCTGGAAAATGAAAGAAGGAAGTGAGCAGACAGAAGGCAGCTCCTGAAGCCAAGAAACAGAAAGTGGAAGGCACAGAGCCAACTACAGCTTTCAGCCTCTTCGTTGGAAATCTGAATTCAAACAAATCTGCTCCTGAGTTAAAAACTGGTGTTAGTGAAGTTTTTGCTAAGAATGATCTCATTACTGTGGATGTCAGAATCGGTACAAATTGGAAGTTTGGCTCCGTGGACTTTGAATCTGCTGAAGACCTGGAAAAGGCCTTGGAACTCCCTGGTTTAAAAGTCTTTGGCAGTGAAATTAAACTAGAGAAACTCAAAGGAAAAGACAGCAAGAAAGATCGAGATGCAAAACACTTTTGGCCAAAAATCTCCCCTACAAAGTCACTCAGGACGAATTAAGAGAAGTGTTTGAGGATGCCATAGAGATCAGACTAGTCAGCAAGGATGGGAAGGGTAAAGGGATTGCTTATATTGAATTTAAGATGGAAGCCGATGCAGAGAAAACCTTTGAAGAAAAACAGGGAACAGAGATCGACAGGCGAGCTGTTTCCCTCTACTACACAGGGGAGAAAGGTCAAAACCAAGACTACAGAGGTGGAAAGAACAGCACCTGGAGTGGTGAATCAAAGACGCTGTACCGAAGCACCCTCTCCTACAGTGCAACAGAAGAAACTCTCCAGGAAGTAGTTGAGAAAGCAACTTTTATCAAAGTGCTCCAGAACCAAAACGGCAAATCTAAAGGGTACGCGTCCATAGAATTAGCTTCATTTGAGGATGCTAAAGAAGCTTTAAATTCCTGCAATAAAAGGGAAATTGAGGGCAGAAGGATCAGACTGGAGCTGCAAGGACTCAGGGCTTTGCCCAACGCCAGAAGCCAGCCATCCAAACCCTGTTGTCAAGGGTCTGTCTGAGGAAACCACCGAAGAGACCTTAAAGGAATCATTTGACGGCTCTATTGGAGCAAGGATAGTCACTGACGGGGAAACCGGATCCTCCACGGGCTTTGGTTTTGTAGACTTCAACAGTGAGGAAGACGCCAAGGCCACTAAGGAGGCCATGGAAGACAGTGAAGGTGACGGAAACAAAGTTACCTTGGACTGGGCCAAGCCTAAGGGAGAAGGTGGTTTTAGGGGCCGCGGTGGCGGCAGAGGCGGCCGAGGCGGATTTGGAGGCAGAGGCCGGGGAGGCTTTGGAGGGCGAGGAGGCTTCCGAGGAGGCGGGAGGAGGAGGAGACCACAAGCCACAAGGCAAGAAGACGAAGTTTGAATAGTCCCTCTGTCCCTGTCTGAACCTGCTCATTGGAAAGAAAGGACTCTGGGGCTTTACTCTGTTACCCGTCGATGACAGAGCCTTCGGAGGGCCTTCCGAGACGGTGAGCATCCTGTGGTCGACTTGGGAAGCGCAGATGACATTTCAGGAGAGCGATGCCCGATGCACCCTGTTGGTTTTGACTGGAGATTCATAAACTTTTTAAAGCGGTGAGTGACAGAGCTAACCCTGACCTGTGAGTTTTGAATTTATATTGTTTCATCCCATGTAGAAAACCATTTTTTTCCTAAAAAAAAAAAAAAAAAGACGCGTGTTTCAGCTGTGATAATAATGCTGAAGTGAGACTATGTATGGTATATGTATAGGTGTGTGTGTGTGTTTCACATAGTCTCCTTTGCATTTTAGCAGAGGTGGGTGGGGGCTGGTTTCCCTGGTCTTTTATGTTTCTGGCTTTCTCCATGCTTTAACATTTTTTTGATAAATTCTTATGGTAATTACATTATCTGGTACCTCTCTAGGTCTAGTTTCTCTCTCCTTTGACTAATTATTCTGACCATGGAGTCTTAACTGTAGAGGCAAATGCTGCTTTTAGTAAGATTTCCTATTAATTTTTAATAAAGCCTATTCCCTGCAGAAGCTGCCTTTCCCTACATGTGCAGTGTGACAATGGGTGGTCTTTAATGTAGGAAGTGTCCTGCAAGACAGCTCATGGAGGGCCAGTAATATGAATGTTAAAAAGATTTTACCAACAAAGAATGTAGAAAAGACAAGAGTTTATTTATATCAGGGTACACTGTCAAGAGGGATGACAGTCCAGTTTCCAAGAGAAAAATCATAGCAGTCAAGATGAGAGATTGGGTTTTTATAAGGGTTTGAGGATATGGAAAAAGGATCTAGATAGAAAATATAATTATCTAGAAAACGTCTTCCTGGATCAGCACCTTGTGGATCAGGGAGCACCTGTATTCTCTTTCAAATTACATTTACAGTTGCAGTTTTGACAAAACCATTTTCTCTGGCTTGTAGAAGGGCTTCAGCTTTAAATCAGAAGGTCTGTACCTACCATTTAGAAAATGGGTTGGGGCTCATTGAGAGGAATGAATGGGCTTTGCATCAAAAGCTTTGTTGGGGTCCTAAGACCACCTACCTGGGATGTCTTTAACTAGAAATCTTTCTGTAAGGGTTTTAACCTTTTTGTTCCAATAGGCAGCCACTGCAGTAGATAATAGTGTATTGTAGAGTTTATTTACCTGTGTCCTTCTTTGAACTTCTTAATGGCAAGACAATCTTATTCATCTGTATTAATGTAGTACATGAAACATTGTTCTTCACTGAATGACTACTGAGTATTCTGTTTTTATCTCCTCTTTTATCTTGTAAGATTCTCTGTAACAAATTATCCTAATACATTATCCTTTAAGTGTATGACACTTGATACAGCACTATATGTTCAAGAAATAAATGAAAATAGTCACAGAGCTAATGTACATGTTTGTAAACTAGAACTTTATTAAATGTCTTTATTCATTAACATTGATAATGATTTGTCTCCCCCCCTTATTTAGGTGCAAGGGTATTTGTCAACAGTATTGCAAATGGAATGTGGTGCCGAGGAACTATCACTGAATTAATTCCAATAGAAAGTAAAAATATTAGAAAACCTTGTAGTCCAGCCAAATTCTCAGTCCATGAAGTTGCACTTATAGAAATATTCATGGTAGATTTTGGAAATTCTGAAGTCTTAATTGTCACAAGGTATGGTATTTTGTAATTATTATATATTTTTGGCCTGCTTAGAAATATTTGGGGGGAATTAAAGAATGGTGGAAATTAGAAAAGGGTAAAGAATTATTTGTCATTCTTGACTGCCCAGGCACACACTTTAATATTTTGTTCTGTGTTTATCTTACTAAGTAAATAAATTATTATTAATATTACTAGGTAAGAAGCATAGAATGAAACTTCTTAATGTACTCCAAATTTAAGTATTCTTTGTGTTGTTTCAAAGGAGGGAATGTACACCGAGGTGATTGTTTTAAAGTGTTATAGTTGACTGCAGTGATGATGAAATAAAATCATGTTGTTATTATTTCACTAAAGAATGTTTAAGTGTCATTCTGAGTAACTCACTCTAGGTATTTAAAATTGTCTTCCTAGGTCTTTTACTCAAACTGAAACAGTTATGTATACAAACCAGTAGTAACTGTAGAATAGTCACTTTGTTTAATGATCATAGCTTTATAAATAGATCTATATTTAACAAGGAAAGTCATTATTTCCTTTAGGTTTAAACTGAATGAATGCATGGAATTTCAAATAAAGGTAGCTGAGATTTTTAAGTCAATAGTGAGAAAATATGAACTTGGACTATAACTTTCTAGATGATTAAATTTAAGGAAATTATTCTTTAGAAATGCGTACCTTTTAAGGATGAAAGCAAGTCCAAAGTTAAAACATTATTTTCAAAAAATACTACGTTAATTTTTCCTAGAGTTGGTAATACCCATGTGAGACCAGAACATACTGCTCACCAGCATATTGTACTAGATGATTTATGCCTGGTTCTAAGGAAGTCTGAATCATATATTGAAGAGCTGCTGAAAGACATCCCACCATTAGCTCACCCTTGTTCCTTGAAAGACATTGTTCCACATAATTCAGTAAGTGAGACATTATTTCTTCACAAGCTCAATGTTCCAATTTTAGCTGTTCATTGCCGATGAAATTGCTGTGTTTAGACTCAGGGAGCATACATATACCTCATATTGCTGATAGGAAAAGCTAGATTAATTGATGATTGTAAATGTTTTCTTTTTCTTCTTTTCTTTTTGTTTTTCAATAAGTTTATTGGTACATTTTAGGTATAAAATACAGTTAACATTCACCATTGGGATCTTGTACCTTTACATGACATGGTTCTTATTTTTTCCCCTTCCCCTGCCCTCCCTTCACGAACCCTTTCACCCCTCCCTATTTACAAAGACTTTGTTTCCATTTTTTTCCATTTCTCATATTTTTTCTCTTCCCTTCTTTCCTTTCCCCTACCCCTCCCACTTTTTCTTCCTATTATGCAATATCAATTATACATTTTTTTAATTACAATATCAAGATTTAGAGGACATTACCACAGATTTTGCAGAATTTAAAAGGATATAGAAAGCATATTATAAAAATCTTTTTTGAAATAAATTTGACAACTTCTATGAAGTACCTTGGAAGACCAATTAATGAAACTGACTCTGGAAGAAATATAAAATTTGAAAGTATAACTATTAAAGTATATTCCTAGCTTGAAAACCTACCTATATGACAACAACAGGCTCATATACATTTTAACTGATAAATTATATCAAAGCAGAAAAAAGAAGGAACAGTTCTCCCCTCATTTTAGGAACTCAACATTGTGCTAATCCTGAAACTGGATAGATAATAGAAGAAAAAAGTATGAACATAGATAGAAATTTG